GACCTGGCCCAGAGTGAGGGCAGCTGCTSAGGTGGCACCATCCCTGTTCTTCAACTCCCCACGAGTGACCATGACTGTGACAACTCACTGGATATTCAGCTGGACTGAGTGACGTTGGGCTATGACTGCCAATGGGAAAATCTGGAAATMCCCATCCTCCTCTCAGGGGATTTAGGGGGACCGAGGACGGAGCAGAGCTCACTGGGGGTGAGGAAGGGCATGTCCCAGGGAATTTTTTTCCCCTGAATGGAAGGATATGGAAGCCATGAGAGGAGGGAAAGGCTGGCGAGAGTCCTCCTTCCCCTGCTGGGTTGAAGCACAGCCCAGGCTCCGCAGCCTGGTAGAGGGCACARCCGTTTCTTTTTTTCTGGTACTGGGGAYGGAACCACTTTACCACTGAGCCACATCCCCAGCCCTTTTTATGTTTCATTTTGAGACAGGGTCTCCCTAAGTTGCTCAGGGCCTCACTAAGCTGCTGAGGCTGACCTCAAACTTGTGATCCTTCTGCCTCCTCAGCCTTCTGTGTCACTATACAGGACCRGGGCCACTGTACCTGGCTAGAGTAGACCACAAGCCATTCCGATGTGCCAGGAGAAAATTCAGCCTTGTCCCCTTTCAAGCCAATTTCCAGTCCTGGAGGCAACTGGGGGCAACACCCACCCGCTCACCCTGGCCATCAGTTCCTGTCGGATCCTCACACTAGGCAGGCCCCGCCCTGGGACAACTCAGCTGAAACTGCTCTCAAGGATGATCCAGGCCGCAGTGGCCTTGGGAGAGGGGCTGTTATTGTGAAAGGACACCCTCCAGCTCACAAAGAAGGGAGTAGAGGGCTGCTATAGAACGTCCCCAGTCACTGTGTTTGCTTCCTTGTGTATTCTGCATTCTGAGCCACCTCCTTAGCCACAGGGCAAAGCCCCACCTCATCCACCCAGGCCTGGGTCATGATTCCTGTCCTAGGAGGTGCTGCCAGTCAAGAGCAGGGAAGCCTTGGCACCCCCATGCTTAGCCCTTTTGCCCTAGTCACCAGTCACCTGTTTCCTGTCGTGCTGGCTGTGTGCCCTGGGAGCAAGGCCCAAGCCCACCAGCTCCTCCATGTTGTGAGCACCTTCTCCCCCCTTGGGGAGAGTTTCTCAGGTTTGAGATAACTGTGAGGGAAGGGACTAAAGTTTAATCCTGGAGTGAGGAATGGACTGGAGGAATGCTGAGGGGTGACAGGAGTTTGGGAGAGACTTTCTTTCAGGGTCACCCAATTCTGCCTCCTGTCACACTCTCTGCTGTCTTCAGTATCGCCCTGGTACTGTAATGCCAGATTCGAGGGACCCCAATAGACCTCCAGGAGCTGAATCCGATGCAATCACACAAGAGTCTTGATTGCAAGCTCGAACCTGGACTCACAACCGTTCCCGACACAGCAGTCCCAGGGAGTGAGCCCCGGTCCTTTGTTCAGTGAGATATTATAGGTTTTGGGGGATACTCTATGCTTCACAACATCACACAGCAAATCATTCCATACTTCGGGAAAATTGAATAACAACTCTTAACATTGATTAGCACATTCACTGGCGGGAACAAGTTGGGTAGGGGTGATTGGTTAGTRCAAGAGGGGGATTCCTTTGAACTGAATGGTTTAGGCCACGAGGGGTRAACATGCTAAACTTCATGGTTTCCCAACATGTTATCAACCACCATAAACTACTGGGGGGGTCATCTGGCATCCCAGGTATTTTCCCTATCTTATGCTGATTGGTGGTTGCTAGGGGGGTTGCTATGGGTCCTCACCTAGCCTAACTGAGTCAGGGACACCTGACTCCGCAGATCTCTCCTGGTTTTTGTAGATAAACACCTCAGCAGGGTGGGTATGTGCCTAGGAGTGCTCTGTGGGTTTTTCCAAGGACAAGGGTCATGCCCCCTTCCTTGGACAGGCTTTGCTCTGAGGTAGAGGCTGGTTTCTCAAAAATGGAGTCACATCAGTTTCTCAGTACCACAACTGGTCTGATTGAACAGAGACATGATGTACAGGACCCTGGGACACCACGCATTCTTGCATTCACAGATATYGGTTTGGAGCGGGGGTTAGAGTGGGCATTGGAGGGGGGAGGCCTACCACACACACTGGACATGCTGCTCACAGAGGGYCTGGGGCTTGAGGAAGCTCTGTTCTCTGAGGGAGTCCTGAGACAGTCTCAGAGGGTGAAGATTTCCCTGGGTGGAGGTGWTGCCGAAAATTCGGTCCTTGTCCCTGMTGTCAATCCAATAACGAGGACATGGTTTTGAGAAAAAGGAAAAAAGACGGTTTATTGTTTTGCTAGCAAAGAAGAAACACAGGGGACTCTTGTCCCAAAGGCTGTGATTCTGCCCATCAGCAAGAACAGGGGGCTTTTACAGAGAAAATGAGATCAGGGAGRAGAAGTTTAGGGAAAAGAAGTTTGAGAAAAGGAAAAACAACAACAGCCTGTAAGTTTCAAAGTCACAAAGGGTGTAGTCAAAGCATCAAATGAACCCCTGTTACCGGTAGAAGGCGTGCTAAGCAGAGGGAAGTGCAGGCTCTAGGCCTGCTGGRGAGACGCAGTGTGGTGACCTATGAGCTGGGCTGCACTGAGTAGAGGGCTGAGTATGTGGCACTGTCAGAAGAAAATGAGGTCCTGTGGCTCAGCACATTTGGGAAGCTCTGGATTAAAGAAACTAGAACAGAACTCTATTTCTTTGGGACTTGTCAGAGCCTTTAACCTGATAATGTGTGGGCTGAGTTTTATGGTGGACCCCAGGACTGGTTGTCCTGCWGCAGGCCACACTGGCATGAGGACCATGGGAGGCAGTGAGATTGGTGAGGTTAGAGAGGGTGCTGGAGGCTGTGAATGCCAGGCTGAAAAGGTGGGACCCTTTCYTTGGAGCTGGTGAGGAGTCTCAGAAGAAGACTTAGAAGGGTTTAGATTCATGGAACCTGGGTCAGCTTAGTAACCGGGAAGGCCAGAGCTAAGGCTCCTGGGCAGTTCAGGCCAAGGACTTGCCCTGTATTGACGACCATCCTCTCTGTGGGAGAGAATGGCCCATGGACACAGCCAGCAGTGAAGGGGCTGGAGAGCCAGGCAACCGGAGGGAGGCTAGGCAACCCSGGGTTCCAGATTTGTCTGGGGCCTTTGGCACAGTAGTCAAGCCTGCCTGGGTTCTTATTCTGCCTCCAGCACTTCCTAGCCCTTGGTATCTGACCTCATCTCTCTGGGGCCTCAGGGATTTTGTTGTTTACTAATCAACTTTATTTTTAGAGCCATTTTAGTTTTGCAGAAAGTACAAAGGGTTCCCCCATGTTGCACTAGTGAGATAAATTGTTACAAATGATAAACCAACACTGGTACATTGTTTTCCATTATTACCATCTTGCTCTAGTGTGGTGAATTGTTACAAATGATGAACCAAATCTAGTACATTGTTACCAACCAAAGCTTATAGCTGATTTGAAAGGGGCATTGTGCTAAGTTTAACAGACAACACATAATACACACTGTAGCAGGATGACACAGAAGAGTTTCACTGCCCTAAAACTGCTCCATCTGACCTCAGTCTTAACATGAAGCGAGAGTGAAGCATATATGACCCACGCCACTCCCCAGGACCGGTGTCTTTCACTTTCTCACCCAGGCCTCCTGACAAAGTGGTACTGAGATCAGCTAGAAGCTTCTCTAAATGTGGACTGACATCCATTAGAACCTCTGGGCTTGAGTCAACCTGAGGGGTCCTCAATCACATGTTCATTCTAGGGTCTCAACTCCAGGCCTGCTGAATCAGTATCCCTGGGCTAGGCCCAGGAATCTGCATTTTAACACGTTCTTCTGATGCAGGGGGATGTTTGAGATCCACCATGCCCAGGGCGGGAACCCCAGAGCAGGCTCCTGACGAGTGATACAAATGGGAATTTATTCTATTAAAGTTTTTCAAACCTGAACAGAAGAACCTTAGGCATTGTCAGGTTAAAGCTCTGGAGAGACAGGCCATCTCCCCAAAGGGGAAAGGAGCGGCTTGGTTTGTCTTAAAGCCAAGCAGCAGCCCATTCCACCTTCTGCARCTCCCAGTCAACAAGCCGCTGCCGCTTCCTATCCGATCGCCTCTTGTTCACCCAAAATAACCTGGATGCAATGCCTCGCCAGCTGCAGTTCCCTCTGCCACACTCTTCCTTTAGCAGCCAAACACATTTGGCTCCATACAGAGCACAAGGCCTGAGCACAGGGCCCAGGAGGGGGTTGAATGTTGTCCCCCCACCAAAAAAAAAAAATCATATCCCCCTGGAGCCTCAGAATATGACTGTATTTGTTTGAGAATAGTCTTTGCAGACATAATCAGGATTGAGATGAGATCATGCTGGATTAGGGTGGACCTAGAAAATGACTGGCGTTCCCATATCAGAGGACAGACAGAGGGAGGCACAGAGAGGACCATGTAGACACTGGAGAGGGTAGAGTGATGCCGCTACAGGCCAAGAAAGGCCAAGGAATGCCCGGAGCCATCAGCAGCTAAAGAAGGAAGGAAGGATTGTTTTCTACAATCTTCTGAGAGAGGTTGGCTTCACCAACACCTTGATCTTGGACTTCTGGCCTCCAGAACTGTGACAGAATAAAATTTCTGTTGTTTTAYGCCTCCTAGTTTGTGGGTGGTTGTTACAGCAGCTCTAAGAAACTGATACAGCATCATGGCCATTGATGGGTGGTCCGACTCAGCCCAACCCTCTCAGCACCCCTACAGCTGGAAAGGAAAGGACTCCACACTCAGGTGATTCCCCAGACAGGCATTTTAATGCAACTCATTTTGATCAGAGCTATTTCCTCCCCATCAACACCACTGAWTTCTATCTGGCCCCATTCCTATGTCTGGGGAAGGCATTTCTATCTTCTGCTTGAGAGGCTATATATAATCTGTGAAGGGTTGAGACTTTAGTAGAGACAACTAAATATTGGTTCTGGGGCAGTGTCTGGCTAGTGGCACCACATGGTAGTCCCCTGGCTCAGCCRGGGGCCTGGCTGGAAGAGTCACTGCTGCAGCCTCATGCCACTCCGGCGCCGCGAGTCCTTCCGGGCAATGGGGCTGAAGTTCACGATCTCCTTGTAGATGTGCTCTAGGAGAGACAGGGTGCTTTCAGGTGAGCGGGAGGATGCTTAGGAGGGAGCCCAGCCCACAGCCCGCATGGAGCAGGAGATCAGTCCAAAGAGAAAACACACAGGAAATCATAGCCACTTGGAGGGAAGCGGGCAGGAGTCTCKGGTGGCAGGTGGGGCCAGCAGAAGCCAGGCATGACAACAAGGAGACGGGCTGAAGGCAGAGAGGGAGGAGCTGGATCCCGGCTCTTACGCTTCCATTCGTCCACTGTGAGCTTCTGGTGCTCTAAGGCATCGTCAAACGGCTGCTGGGCCTCAGTTTCCTCCTCAGGGTCCCGGAAAGGTTCAAAGAAGGGGTGGGCGAGGGCCTGTGAGGCCGTCAGACGCTTGTCCACATCCAGTTCCAGCATCTTCTCCAGCAGGTCTGTGGCTACAGAACAGCCGTGAGCCTCCCACCCCAGGCCTGGGGGAGCCCGCCTGCCATGAGGGACTGGGAGGCCCCTGGGGACYGAGCCCAAGACTCACCCTGAGGGCTGGCACGTGGAAAGAGCTGAGTGAAGTCCTTCTTGGGGCTCTGTGGCAGGGCCTGGATGTAGGATTTGGCCTAGAAGATAGAAAAGCATGGATTCCTCAGGCCTCAGGGTACCAAGCAGGGATTTCAGAAAAGTCCCAGAGCAGGGTTGAAGGTTTAGGCTGGGAAGAGGGACGTTATGGACAGACRCAGGTGAGCCCCCATTCCAAAGGCCCCCCACCCACCTGGCCCTGAGGTTAGCCAAGCCCATAGCCTAGGCCCACTCAGGCCATTTGCTACCCACCGCTTTGTCATTCAGCTTCTGCACAAACTCTGCACCTGGCACCCCAGTCACTTTCAGGATCTGGGTCAACTGGTCCAGGTCTTGGCAGTGGTTAAGGTGCCCCCTCACTCTCGGCTGATGCGGCAGAGCCCACCCTCTCTGTGGCCATGGTGCAGGCTCCAGACCTGCCTGACCACTTCCTGCTCTCAGGACAGGAGGCTCAGCCTTCAGACTGTCTTCAGAGGTCTTCCTGACGGGCCAGGCCACGGGCCAGGCCAAGAAGGAGGGGTCCCTCCTGAAAAATGCTGCCAGAGCACATGGACCTCCTAGCCCTCATCTCTCTCAGCCACCCTTATTTCCTTATCTTCTCCCCGGACCCTGGCACTGCCAGCTGAGCAGGACAGACTCCATGTCCTCTGTGCCTGCAAATCTCCATCAGTGTGTGGAGTGCATCCTCTACGTGGTAGTGGAATTTAAGGGCCTCCTTTTCATTGTTCTGCTCATCTGCATTTTAAAATTCTTCTACAAACCGTGGGTATTACTTTTGCATTAAGAAAGACAGAGTTATTTAAATAAAGTGTGTCCTGAAGGAATGGTCCCCGGTTGCAGTCTGGTGTTTCCAGGAAAGGATACAATCTTTCCCCTTGAACAGAGTTTTCCCGGTCAGCATTTCAGCCATGATGCAGCCAACAGACCAAATATCCACTGCAGAGGGAGGAAGGAAGTGTTACCTGGCCCGTCTGACCAGACCCTGCGATCAGTCACACAGAGTAACCAGATGACCTCAGGGAAGCCGCCAGAGCAGGCCAGCCCCAGCCTCCACCCCAGCAGCCGACAACTGACCAGTCTGGTTATAATGCATCCAGCTGAGGATCACTTCAGGGGCCCGGTACCAACGGGTCACCACGTAGCCAGTCATCTCAGCATCTGCAGGCCGTGCCAGCCCAAAATCCAGGATCTAAGGCTCAAGGGACACAGGAAGAAGGAGCTGGCAGAGCAGGCGCTCTGGAGCAGCTCTRAGGAGCTCCTGCAAGAAGGGGCCCACCCCAACCCGGACTGGGCCTGTCCTCAGCCCACTCACCTTCAGCTCGCAGTCCTCGTTCACAGCCAGGTTGCCTGGCTTCAGGTCCTGGGTGGGAGGACACAGAGTGAGCACTGGGCTGAGAGATAGAGACAGAGCTCCTTCTGGCTCTGCCACCCCCAGCACGGTGGCCTTAGCCAGGCCCCTTGCCCTCTCTGGGCTATTTCCTCATGTGTCAAATGAGGGTTACACTCAGTGTTCTCTAGGGACCCGYCCAGCTCTACAGTCTCCTGATTGATTCCTGAAGCCTGACACCCCAGCTCAGGGCTCACTTTGTAACAATTCCCCCACAAAATTCTCCACAATACAACAATTCTTCCATATTCTGTGTTCCTGAAAATCCTCCTCTCTCCCCAACTCTCCCAACTTCCTAGTTGCTAGAGGACCCCACTCTTCCAGGAGTGGGTCAGGGACCCCTGAGAACCAAAGCAGAGAAAGCACTCACCCTGTGGACAACCCCAGCCGAGTGGATGTACTGAGTGGGAGAGAGAGAGAAGGGTGAGTCTTGCACTCCAGTTTCCAAGCCAGCTCAGCAGGCCGCCCCGTAACCTCCTTCACCCATTAGGATGCGCTCCCTCCAGCCCTCCCTGAACTTTGGGTCTCAACACCAAGGAACCCTCTCTGCCATCCTCATAGCCCCCACCCACCTTAAGACCTTTGAGCATCTGATACACCAGATACTGGATCTTCTCCTCACTGAACTCCATCCCCATGATCTTCTGCAGGTCTGTCTGCATGAAGGGCATCACCAGGTAGCTGGAAGGCACGAGGACTTCTTGGCACAGCTCCAGCCCCCACCCAGACCCAGGTCTTGGCTCAGAGGTGGGGAACAGTGGTGGGGACAGAACAGAGCCTTAGAGATGATCTCAGGCAAGAAGGTGTAAGAAGAATCAGGCTCATATGGGCCTCAGGGCTCCTGGCTTCCACCGTCCCTGTGGCAGGTTGCCCAGTTGGCAGAGCTCAGGGTAAACATGGCTTTGGAGCCTGCTCAGGAAAACTAAGTGGAGCTGTGTTCCCGCTCTTCAAAGGTGCCCTCTCCTTGCCTCCTTCACACTCCACAGCAAACCTCAGCTGGGAGCTAGAAGCATCTGCCAGTATTTCCTTCTGTTTCTGTCCAAATGTCTTCTCTCTCAGGGGTTCATGCCCAGCTGAGCTGGCACCATTAACAATTGTCTGCCCTTCCAAGAAGGAAACAATACAACAATTTTCAGGAAGGTGGAAGAAGAAGGTGGCTGGGGTGTTGCACCCTCTTGTGGGATTACAAAACAAGTCGTGGTCAGCAAAATGTAACTGTTACTCAAGGTAGTAACAGCAAAATTCCAGAACAAAAGACAACAGATTACCATACAAATATTTTTTAAAACCAGACATAGTGGATGCCATCTCCAAGGGTCCCTAAATTCTTGAAGCCACCTTCTGCCTGACCATACCCCCTCCTCTCTAGGACCTTGTTCCACACACAATCCCCCTGCTGTGTCCTTCACTTCTGCATGAACCCTGGTCCTTTCTTCTGGCTCACAACGTTGCTTAAGTTTTGCAACTTTACTGCTTTTTTTTTTCTTTTTCTTTTTTGATACCAGGGATTGAACCCAGGGGTGCTAAGCCACCAAGCCACATCCCCAGACCTTTTTTATATTTTATTAGAGACAGGGCCTCACTGAGTTGCTTAGCGCCTTGCTGTTGCTGAGGCTGGCTTTGAACTCACAATCCTACCGCCTCAGCCTCCCAAACCGCTGGGATTACAGGCGTGTGCCATCAATGCCTGGCAACTTTGCTTCTTTAAGTGACCACTACTTCTTCCTCTCTTGCCACCAAACTTCTAGAAGGGTGTTCCATACTCCCTGACTCTGCATTCACACTCCATTCCCTGACAACCTGGCTTCTGTTCCTGTCCTATAGCCACATTACTCACCGACCACCCCACAAAGTCACCAGGATCCTTTTCTTCCTGTTTTTCCTTTCACAAAGTCCAATACTCCTTGAAAATTCTCTGCCAACTCCCCTCTTTCTCTAATCAGTTATATATATATATATATATAATGTAATTTATATATATATGTATAAATTATATGTAATTTATATATATGTATAAATTATATGTACATATATATATATATAAATTACTATATATATATATATATATATATATATATATATATATATATATATATATATATATATATATATATATATTAGGGTCTCACTAAGTTGCTAAGGCTGGCTTTGAAGTCAAGATCCTCCTTCCTCAGCCTCCCAAGCTGCTGGGATTATAGGTGTGCACCACTATGCCCAGCTGATCAGCTTTATTTTGATTTGCTCATCCTTTTCTACCTTCCCTCTAATGTGGCTCAGAATCACATTATCATATCATGTTTTATACCTGTTCTTGGGCTTCAACTACCATCCAAAGGTGATTATTCCAAACCAAATCTGTATCACTAATCCAATCCATATCATTAACCCTGAACCTCTCCTGAGGTTCATATTTATTTGCAACTCTGATTAAACACTTGAATGTTCAAGGTTCTATAAAAGTGAAGTGTCCAAAGTGAAGTTCATTATCTTTTCCCCAAGGTCTGTTCTTCCTCTGCCTTGTATTCCAAGCAGGAGCCCAAGCATCTCCCTACCTACACCTCCTCAGCCCCTGCATCCCAAAAGACACGATATTTTTTAGTGCTGCCTCCCAAACAGGTGTCAGGTCTGCCACCAACATCCCCTTCCCTTGGACTGTAGATCCAGGTCTATTCCACTGGCCTCCATGTCTTCTCTCCTCCCTAGAGGTACTCCCTGCTCTTGAGCATCCCTCAAATTGCGTCTGACCACATCACTGCCCTGCTCCAAACCTCCATGGACTTGTGGAATTGAGTCTGGACTCGAAGCTGGGCCGAGCCAGCTGTTGGCCTTCACTTACATCCTGAACATCAAAAATATTGTCCAATCTGTCGCGTCTCATTCAGACAGTGCAATAGCAAAGCCAGACACTCAATGATTAAATGTCCTGGTTCTGTATAACTGGCAAATACCCCAGAGGCAGCCAAGGGTACCTGATCCTCACTTCAAGCTAGAAAAAGGCTTATGGTCCAGAGCTACACCTAGGCACCCCGGGGGAACGGTAAAGGGAGACAGTGCAAACCCTGTGGGGACTGGCAGGGATGCCTTTGTGGTGGTAAAACTGGGTAACAAGCAAAGTAACTGTGCAGACAGCTCCCTACCAGGCAGGTACCACACAACCCCCCCCCCCCCGGATTCTGCCTGCTTTTCTTCCACTCTGGGCTGATGCTACCTCTACAGAGAGAACCTYACCTTGACAGCCCACAGGCACAGAGACTGCCAGGGCAGCAAGCCCTCCACCCAGGAAAGACCATCAGGATATTCCCCCAACTTACTGCTGAGCGGCAAGCAAGACCTGCAATTGCCCAGAACTCAGCACAGCCTTACTCACAAGTCATGGAAGTTGCGCAGGGAGGAGGCTGGGGTGAAGACATCCAGGAGCCCAATGACCTGGGAAGGAAGTTGCCAGTGAGGACTGGAAGTCATTGCCCCTCCTCTCCACTCTGTCTGGGCCCCAGTCAAAACAGCGCCCATCCTGTCCCGCTATACCACCTGGAGCAAGAAGCAGGTCCCCAAAATGCTTGGAAGCACTAAAAGGGGGCAAATCCCCCCATCTGGGAGGCAGCCTGTGTTAAACTATAATGGAGAGTTAGGCTGGGGAAAGGGGGAGGTAGGGAGAAGAAGACAAAGTGGTTGCTTCCACACCTGGTGTTCAGGTCAAGTGGCACAAAYTCACTCGACTTAAAACCATGAGGGTTAAAAGAAGAAAAGGAGGGAAGGGGGAAAGATGTCTCAACCAGCAGGCTCCTGATCTCGACCTTGGATCTCCAGCCACATCTGTCCTTGCCTGCCATGGGGATAGTTCAGTCAGAGGCAAGATCACCCCTAACTGAAGGCCACAGAGGAGGGGTGTGCTGAAAGGGATGGGACTTAAAATGTACAAAATTCTTGGCAATCACTATTTGAAATGTTCGCCCTCCAATCTAGGTATCCTGGAGGGAAGACCTGTTGCCAGGTCCAGAGCTGGATCATTGGCTTTTCTGGTTGTTTCTATCAGATGGGATAGCCTAATGATCATGTACTCAGTCTGGTTGGCTAGATCCAAATCCCAGCTCTGCTCTTTTTTTTTTTTTTTTTTTTTTTTTTTAAAGAGAGAGTGAGAGAGGGGAGAGAGAGAGAGAGAGAGAGAATTTTTATTTATTTTTTAGTTCTCGGCAGACACAACATCTTTGTTGGTATGTGGTGCTGAGGATCGAACCCGGGCCGCATGCATGCCAGGCGAGCGCGCTACCGCTGAGCCACATCTCCAGCCCCCCCAGCTCTGCTCTTGATGAACCACATAACCAGGAGTCTTTCTATGCTTCAATTTCCCCATCTGTGACACCGGGGCACTAATATTTATCTCCTTATGGAAAGGATAATACTAGTCAATTCATGCAAAGATGTTACAACGTACATAGAGGGCAGTTAGTGCTCAATAAGTATATATTATTGTTGTTATCAGGGTCACTGCAGGGCCGTGGCCGGCCCTCTGGGGCCTCCCTCCCTGCCTTCCCACCACCCAGGCTCAGCCTACGTTCTCATGCTGCATGTGCTTCAGCAGCAGGAGCTCTCGATAAGCCCGCTTAGCGAAGATCTCAGACTGGAAAGGCCTGCTCAGCTTCTTGATGGCCACCTTCTCCCCTGACCGCTTGTCGATGGCGGAGCTGCAGGGGCACAGGAAGGTCAGCGGACAGCGGGTTTCCTCCTGAGTAGCACCTACTCCAGATCCCGGATGGTACCTCCTAGGCCACCCTCACCTCTGCTCCCCAGACAAGGCTAGCAGGCTAGCTGGGAGGATCCAATGCCCAACACCCAGAACTTGGAGCGCAGCAGGAAGCTGTGGGAAATGGGTGGCAGCAACGGGGGCAGGGGAAACACACCAGGGGCAGAAACACTCTTCTGCCTACAGGATTCAGGAATCTCACTATGCAATTTGGCAAGTTCCTTCCCCCTCTAGGGGCCCCGGTGGACTCAGCTGCAACGATGGGGATTTGCCCCATGAACTCTGGAGCCCTTTATGACATTAGAGCCTGGAGCACCCATCCAGTCCGACTTCAACCCACAGAGAACCCACGCAGCCACCCCTGTGCCTGGGGTGGCCCTGAGCCAGATTGTGCCGCAGCCTGGGGCTTCTCTCTCCTTCCCTGTCCGGCCCACGGCCCCTTCCCGGCTTCTGGAACGCCCCCTGGGACGCTGGACCCTGGTGTCCTTGGGGAGTGCTGGGAAGGGGTCAGCCCAGGGCGGTCCGGGAGGACCAAGGCGTGAGGGGCGCCCGCCACGACTTGCTGAAGGAGCACGGGCGCCCGCCCGAGCTCCCGCCTCGACGCCCAGGCGCCCCCTGCGCCCCGCAGCGGCCGCGCAGGCCCGGGGGTCTCACCACACGGCGCCATAGGCCCCGCTGCCGACGTGCGTCGGGCACAGGTAGGTCTTGGGCAGCTCCCAGGCGGTCTTGTTGACGTCCTGCTTGTAGAAGCCCTTTTTCCGGGTAAGGCTCATCCCGGGCACCCAATCTCGGCGGCCCCAGCGCGGCGGCTGCGGTGGCTGCCCGCCGGGATCCCAGCGCCCCAGCCCGCCCGCGGTCCCGGCCGATCCCGCCCCGCGCCACCCGCTCCTCCCCCGCGACGGGGCGGGGGCACCGGTCGGCGACGCGTCCACCTGCCGGCTCGCCCAGGTGCGCCGAGCGCCGCCACGCCCGGGCCCGCCTCTCAGCCCAGCGCACCCACGTTTCCGCCCGACACGCAGCGTGTGTGGCCCCGAGGCCCCGCAGGTGCGCGCGCCCGGGACTGCCGCCTGCTCCGAGGAAGGGGCGCGCCCGGCCGTCGGGACCCGGTGGGAGCSGACGAGACCCGAAGAAACCGGGCCTCGGCTGCCTCCAGTCCCGGTCTCCGTGGGACGAGCTGCCCCGGAGTTTTGAAGGCGATTTGTGAAAACAAACTCCCACAGATAATGGGGTTCTCATGAACCCCACGACACTGTTCAGCTTCGGCCATGACACCAACTCGTCGTCCTCGTCGTCAATTTTATTTCCTCCACCCCCCTCCCTCGGCTACCTTACTTTGAAGCAAGACCCAGGCGTCATTTCATTCATATTTTTTATAACTATCTATTTTTATTTATTTATTTTTATRTGGTGCTGAAGATTGAACCCAGGGCCTCACACGTGCTAGGCAAGTGCTCCACCACTGAGCCACAACCCCAGCCCTCATCCATAATGTCTTTTAAATCTCCGAATGATAAAGATTTAAGAAAACCAATAATCACAATATCATTCTCACACCTAAAATAAACAGCACTAATTTATCACCTGTCCACACAGATACATATTTCCAGGTTTGAAACACAGATTTTGTGGGCTTCCTGATGCCCCATGAGGACAATGACAGACAAACTAGAGCCATGCATGAACCACTTGTGACTAGTGGCGCCCCCCCAAAAATTCTTTTTTTCACATTAAATCTGTAGGTCCTCTGGRCAACAGGATAAGGGGCAGAAAATGGCTACAAATGCTTTGGGTGATCTGTGGACTTGTGGAAAGGGCAGGGACCACTTGCTTCATTTGTTAGAGAGAAAGTGTGTCTTTAAAAGGAAAGGAATTTGTTAGATGCCTTGAGCAAGCTGGGGATCTGTACTAGGAAGCCCCCAATTCCTGTGTCAAAACACCTCCTACAAGGTCCTGTGGCATTAGGCACAACCTGAAGGACCATTTGGGGGTGGGTGGGGGATGCAAGATCCACCAGAACTGTGCAAAGTTATTGTGGGCAGAAAATCTGTCTTCATCTCTGGAACCAGGATAGAATATCAATAAATATATGGAGAATGAAAGGCAGAAACAGCCCATTTCTTGTTTAAAAAAAAAATATATATATATATAATAAACACTTGTGTTTGCCATGTGCCAGTCATTATTTTAAGTGTTGTACATACATAACTCAGCCATGGTAAGAGGTCATGAGTCAGTATCATGATTAGCCTTACTTTAGAGATGAGGCACCCAAGGTAGCAAGGGGTTAAATAGTTTGCCCAAGGTCACACTGATGAGGCAGAGCTGGGTGAAGACACAGGTACAGGCTGATTCTAGAGCCCAGACTCTGGGCTACCAGGATATGCAGTATCTCTAGGAGGAGAAGCATTGCTCCTTAAAGGAAATGCCTGCGTTTTAATGATCTGCCTCACCTACACCATATAAGGCTGCCTACTGACCAAACYCTGCCTCCCTCAGGTCACCTGCCCTGTGTATCTGACCCATCCCCTCCCCTTTCCTTGCCCCCTCTTCTGCTCTGGCCCTGAGACACCTTGGAAGAAGGGAAGGGGTGGAGACATGCCTGGGAGTGCTGTAGAAGTTTGGGACCTTTGGGTTGGTGGCATCAGTGRAAGATGTCCTGAGTCTGAATTGAGGGTGGAATTCTAGAAATCTGATTCTAGGACTGKGCACAGACAAGAGAAAGTTGTCCAGAGAAACTTAGGGGTCTTGTTTGTTAATTTGTTTTGTTTTGTTTTCCCCAGGTAAAGGTTCCAGCAGGAAAAGGGGATGGTATTTGGACCTGACCCTGGGCAGAGGCTGAAATCTCTCTGTGGTGTGGCAAAGGGACCCAGGAAGGTGAGGAACACTGGGAACACCGTCCCTGCCCAGGCAGGTGCAGTCCTTCCAGGGCACCAGCTGGCTACTCTGGCCATGGCTCTGGACACCTCTTGAGCAAGGGTCAGGAAGTGACTCAGGCCACACTGACTGTGACTCTCCCCCACTTTGGGCCTTGCTAGACCTGTGTTTACTCAGCAGCTTGGCAGCCTTGGAGGGAAGGGCTTAGAATCCAGTCAAGGAAGTCAGGAATGGAAGAGGAGGAGCAGGAARGTTGCTGAGGACATCTTGGTACTCTACATCCCCAAGCCCTGGGCTCTTCTCCTTGTCTCCAAGGCCCCTTTGCTCTTCTCCCCAGACACTGCCTCCTTGTTGTCTGTTGGTTTCTGCCCTATAATAAAGAGGCAGGGGCTTAGGAGACCAACTTTGGTATAGAGACTTATGATGGCAGAGCTGTGGGTCACAGCCGCTGCCCAGCAGCATGAGAGATTATRCAGCATATGGCTAGCCTGGGGTTAAAAAAAATGTATAAAAATCTAGAGTGTGGTTGCTACTCTACTGAATGCATATCATTTCTATATCATTGTAATGTAGAAAAATCATAAGTGGAAATATCTGTGTATTTAGAGTCTAAGGTGGGCAACATTCCAAGTAAAGGTAACTATAGTCTTAAGCACGGTCAGTTAGATAAGGGCTCTCATTGCCTCCAGCCACAAGTTGCCAGAAATGCACCCGGGTTGAACAAGCTGAGTGAGTTACTCCTCGAAGCAAGGGAGAGCATGTGCTGTGGGGATCTCAGTGAGAGGGCATTAGGAAGGTTTTAGAAGGTTTGGGTGGTTAGGGAACTTGGGGGAGAGCTTAAGGCAGTGAGACTTTGTTCTGGACTGGATGCTGTCAAGAAGTGGAGCTCATTCTGCGATTGGGTGTCTTAATAAATCTTGCCTAAGGAGGGCAGTCTAGAAAGAGACAGAAGCTTTAGCTGGTAAAGAAGAGCTTTTTAAAAAAATAGTTCACACTTGAAATCACAGTGATTCGGAAGGCTGAAGCAGGAAGAGGATTGCAAGTTCAAGACCAGCCTCAGCAATGAAGCAAGACCCTGTCTTAAAATAAAAAGGACTAGAGACTTAGCTCAGTGGGAAAGTGCCCCTGGGTTCAATCCTAGTACCAAAAAAAAAAAAAAAAAAGAAGCTTTTACTCTGATTCGCCATATAACAGGAGAGTGTTGGGTCATTTTTGTGTTTGGACACTATTCTTGTTTTGTCTCTGTTTAGATACATAATTATGAAGCAGTCTGTTTTTTTGTCTTGATCCATCCTGGTGACAGATGGCCTTGTTAGATGTTGATGTTTATGAAACTGTGTGGGCACAGACAGGACCAGGACTGTGCTGTGCCAGGCCTGATCTGAGCCACCAAGGCTGGCTGAGAGGACCTGGGAGCTCACACATGTCAGGACTGCTTTGGTCTGTTGTTCTCAAAGTACAGATGAAGAGACTGAGRCCCAGAGAGGCTTAGTRATTTGCCTAAGGTCACATATGACTGAGAARGTGGTGGACATTGTTTTCAAACCTGGATTCTGGCTCCCGGGTCTGTACATTTAAGCACCAACCAGGTTGCCTGTTACCCAGCAGGCGCTTGGCTGTCATCCTAGGGCTGTGTCCCAAGCTAGGCTGTGAGACTGGAGGGCAGGGGCATGGTTTGGTTAGTTTTATAGAGATCAAGACAAAGCTCCACCTGATCGTGAGGCCACATCCCTATACTGGCCACCCAGACTCCATCTGCTTGGGAACACAACAGCCCCTCAGACGCCATCTCTRTCCCATACAACAGTGCACGTTCTCACACTACTGGCAGGGGACCTCCACCTGGGCCCCAGGGGGATAGAACAGGCCAAGGGAGTCTGTATGCTGTGGCCCTGCTCTTGAGAGATGCCAGTCCTCCTGTGGAGCACCCAAAATGCCACAAAGCAATGGAAATTGCAAGAAGTCAGGGAGATGCAGGAGAAAGGTGGCATGTGTGAGCTGCTCTGTGACTTGTTAAGCTGTGTGATCTTGCTCAAGTTAGCTAGCCTGTCTAAATCTCAGTTTCCTCATCTGTGAAATGGGAGCAATAGCCACAGGGTCATCATGAAGATCAAAAGAGATGCCACAAGATGGGCCTCATTCAGGGCCTGCCAGATGCTCCTTGTCCAACAGGCTGTGAGCAGGCCCAGCTCTGCCCAGCACTCCCACCGCTCGGCCCAGCCCTTTGGCGGTTTTGTTTCTATCCCAGCATCAGCCCCCTACTCGGCTCCAATCCACATCCAACTCCTTTGTTAAGTTTTTTCCAAGGACCCAGTGCAAGGATTCATTCCTCCAGCTATTCAGCCTTCATGTACTGAGAGTCCACTGTGTGCCAGGGACTGATCTGGGTGTGGGGGATGTAACAGAAAAGGAACAGACCAAACACCTCCCCCTTGGGGCTGGCGCTCCAGTGGGAGGCAGAGGGAAAATCAGCAAACACCTGGGTGGTGTTGGGTTGAATCACACGAGATTTCTGATATTTAACAATTTCATGTGATTTGATCAGATGCTAAGTCGGGCTGCATTAAATGCTATGAAGAGAATAAGTCAGGGTAAAGAAGGCTGGGTAAGTCTGTAAAGAAGGGCTGTTGGTGCTGGTTAAATGGGGTGGCCGGGGAAGGTCTCTCTGGTGGCATCTGAGCAACCCTGATGGATGAGGATGAAGCCCTGTGGATATCCGGGGAAAGAGTCTGTTTTCCAAAGGAGCGGAGAATCCCACCAACCCAGGTGGGAGTTTCCCACTTTGTTCCCACATGGCCCTGCAAGCATGTGTCCCCACCTCCCATCAGGCCTCCAGCTCTTCCCTCCAGCACCCATCCCTTTCCCCAATTCCAGCAGCTTCCAGAAAGTTCCTTAGGGACCAGCTTGGAGMGCCTGGGGATTCTTTATTGGCTTCTGGAAACCAATTAAGAATGCACCCAGGGTGAACAAGCT